TAGACCAATCATTCTTCCGGGTGAACGGCAGGGGGGTGAGGGGAACGAGGGTGACGATGAACCACACGGGCGGGGGCTGGAAGGGGGGGTCGAGGGTAGAGCAGAATTGAAACGGCTGCGTGGTCTGGCGGGTGGGAGCGAGGGGGGAAGAGAATCTGTAGGGAATATGGGAGCCTTGGAAGTAGACGAAGAAGATTCTTCCATGGGATTATTTCTTCCTGGGGTGTTTGATGACGAGTAGCGCGAAGCGTGATTGGGCGGGCTTGTGTAGAAGCGGCAATACCCGTTGCATGTTTGGGGGGGATGCGATGTTTATTTTTCATCATTGTTTGGCCATGAAGCAGGAAGGAGCGGCGTGTTTCAGTAGTTTGTTTTTTGGATGTGTTGTCCTAGATGCGCACTTGAGTTTGCTATCTCGGCAATTCTTCCCAGAACGTCCGTAGTACATGTAGGGCGGAAAAAACATGCAGGGGCATGCTCTGTGTTTATTTGAGCGCCCATTGCAATGCAGCGTAAAATTAAATAGTGTGCTTGGAGCTGCACACCAATTTCCTACTTGTATCCACGAGCACAGGGTAGTGTTTCTCATGTAAGTTTTATATCACTGCCTACGAGGCGGGGTTACTCTTCGAACTGTTGGGCGAAGATCCATTTATTTTCCTCTCCCTTTTCTCTTTTCCATCAGTTCATATTGATACACGAAATAAAAAAACATGAAATTTTTCAGCGAGGGTGTCTATCGGCCGGGTGGCTTCTCTTGAGCCGGTGGGTGGTAGGAAATCTCGTTCACCCTCCCACCCTTCATCACGGACGTCAGAAGAACTACGGCGTACAATCCAGTTGTCGGGGACCACAATACCAAAGCGATGTCCGTAAAAGTTATACCTGAAGCAGCAACGCACAAACGGCCCTCCGCTTCCAAAAAAAAGGTGCTGCACTTGGCGAACACGAAATCTCATCGAGGTCTACAAACATGCTGTTAACGTCAATGTCGTCACGATCTTATACTTAGAAGTATACTAGACAGTTCGCATGTGCCCACCAGGGGGATCACAAAACCTAACTAAGGTCGGGAAACATCTCAACGATTGAACGGACCGGTTTGCAAACTTTCTAGCTGGACGGCCGCATCCGGCGCCTTTGGGCAAACACAAAAAAAAACCTCAAGGGCATGACAGTGTCGACCGAAGTACATCTACCACGAACATGAAGATGCCGTATGTATGTTGCGACACATTTTACCGTGTAAAAAAAAGAACAACTCACACTACCTACATAACAGGATGACATCAAGCCGCTTATCACCTAACAAAGGCCGGCAAACATTTCCACCGTACAACGATAGGGGAGCAAACTATCTAGCACCCGGCCGCATCGTGCGCCTCAACACACAAATACACACGCACACAGCAAACCAGACCGAAGGTCATCCACATCTATATCCATCTACAATACCCTAACCGTAACCCTAAGATGCCATATGTCATGGCAATATGCTTCGAAACAAGATGACCCATCTAGACTATATTAAAACTAAAAATAGAACGAAGCGTCGATGACATTGGTAAACAGCTTGAGCATCAATCTGCGAAATCCCAACACGCCGAATGTCGACAAAAATCTGGATGTGTGTGGCAGTAGTCAGCAAACACAAAGAAAATAATCAGGACACAGGATATTTACAGGGGTGACCTCCAAAACTACGTACAGCAGTGAGCAGCATCGACAAGTTGTTTGCTCTCTCTGCGGGATGCTTTAGATATCCATGTACGTACCTAGGGCACAGCACCTCCGCGGGCGTGTTTCTACCCCACGCTCCAACCTCCTTCCCCGTCTCGACCTTCGTCACTGCCAATATGATCGCCTTCTTCTCGCTGTCGCCGTGTTCTTCGAAGTCGCCCCCTGACCTTGCGTTGGGGTTCCTGCTAGCATTCCTGCGCCTCTTGCCGTTCGTGGCAGTTTGGAGTCGTGCAGATTTTATTTGCACGACGGTCGTGCAAATAGCGGTTGCCCTAAATAAATAGCTGCTGTTGTTGCTCAGTCTCGGTACCCCCTCTCTTGCTCTCTTCCCGTGCCTGCCTTTTTGCATGCCATGCGCAGAGGTGGCGTGCTCTGTACCGTGGCAAGAAACACGACGCAACGAAGTGAGGACCTGCTGCTACTGCTGTGCTCATGCCAGTGTAGCAGCTTCGTCTACTGACCGACTGAGAGACCCGAACCACGCATACTTCACCTTCGATGCCGGCCACCTCTGGGAACATCCGTCATGGTGGGCAAGGTTCTTGCTTGCAGTCAACGCTGTTTGGGATGCGGAGGAGCTGCTCAGAATATGGACGGAAAAAGAAAAGCTGTGATGGCCAACAACCTCGTGGGTAAGCATGTAGACTATAGTCGATATACTCGTAGCATAGCATGCGGGTGGTATATTGCGTATACATACGCGAGTATTGCAGTGACGAACTACGGAGGAACAAGAAGTTTCTTTATGTTGTCCTTGGGAGTGTGGTAGATTGGTGGACATTCATGGAGATTCGTTTTGGGTGTTTGAGCGTTATGCGTGACTTGATGCCGTGATGGAATGACGAGCTCAAGCACGCCCCCGATGAATACAACACGGATACAACACGTTTACAACACGTTTTACAACACGTCTGTACGACTTTACCTACCCCAACGGCCCGTCATGGCCGAGCTCCTCTACACTCCCATCACACACAACTGAGCCACCCGAATTATCGATCACGCTAGCGTATGACACGTTGTCTACGAGATTCACGGTCGAGCTTGGTTTAGGAGTATCGCTTTGCGGCGATCGAGAGCAAGGTCAAGATGGCTACCAGGCGCGAAGATGAAGCCCGCCAAGCAGCGGAGGCCCGCCAAGCAGCGGAGGACGCCAGGAACTAAGAACAAGATAGCTCCCGCAGCGTCGACAAGAGCGCGCGGGTAGAAGCAGGAGAAGCCAACAGGAGTCCGGACTTCAGCTGCGAGGTGAAAGCAGGAGAGGGTTAGATAAAAGTCATGCGAGAGTGCGAAGAGTACGAGGTAGGCCAGCAGCAGGGAGCGCGCCTAGAACCATCGACCACGCCCGCGGACGACATCCCCCTGACCATCGCGCGAGCCCCCGAGGGGCGGCTCAGCGCATTACAGCAGCACCACTTCTGCTACTAGGGTCCCAGACCCGCTCAGGCACGTGATGAAATGATCATGTCCTCTGTCCGAAGACGAATATGGCCTTGTTTTGTGTTCCGAAAGTTTTTTGTTTTGTGTCTGAACCGTTTCCTGTGTTCGGAATTCTGCGAAATTTGTGATGTTGGGATAAAAGAGAGAGTACGGTTGTCACGAACGAGAAANTACTAGGGTCCCAGACCCGCTCAGGCACGTGATGAAATGATCATGTCCGAAGACGAGTATGGCCTTGTTTTGTGTTCCGAAAGATTTTTATTCTTGTATCTGAACCGTTTCCTGTGTTCGGAATTCTGCGAAATTTGTGATGTTGGGATAAAAGAGAGAGTACGGTTGTCACGAACGAGAAAACTGAACGTGTGAGGGGTTATCAAGCCACCAACAGCACGTATGAGGGGATGTTATGCTTCCAAGAGTTAAGTTGCCAATCGTGCAATGAAAAGAGTATGATGGTTTTTCATCCCACCAAAAGCAGTACGGCAACAAAAAAAAAAAAAAAGATTGATGCGTAACTTTGTTTGTGGGACTACCACGTCACCACCGACACAACAGCAAAGCGTGGACATCATTACGCATTTGAAGGACAGTCAGAATTCTTGACGCAAGCACGTAGGATTTCATGGCAAGTTTGTAGGAGATGTTGGGTAGAATTTCGCTGGAGAGAACAGCAATATGCGTGGCAGGACCTCGGCGAAAAGCGAGACTTGACCCAAGACTGACGTTTTCCGACTAGATCGCAGAGAAAAATAGTCAGAGGCATCACTCAGCCAAGAAGCGAGGCTGACCAAGAAACTAAAGTCCCGACTAGGTCGTAGAGGACAGCAGGGGGGCACGTTATATTCTTTTAAACGAAATGGCGTTGCTGACATATTCTTGACATATATTTTGAGTATTTCAGGGAGATAGTACTTCTTCGCGTTTTACCTGCGGACGAAGGTTTGGTGGATGAATGGAATAATTTGTCTCAGGATTGCATACATCTTGGTAATGGTAGGATATCTAGCTAGCCGGATTTAGAGACGCACCGAGATATTGTGACGAATTGGCGGTGAAAGGAAAGGCGTCTTTGAACGGCGTTTGTTATGTTTTTCTGGATGAAAAGAGTTTGAGTTGAGAATTTTCAGAAGAGAGCGAGAGTGATTGGCGTGTGTTGGTATGCTATTTGGATACTTTTGTCGTGTCTGAAGTATTTTCGTTTTATTGGTTTTGATTGTGTTTTGGGATGAACTGGTATGAGAAGGATGACTATGATATTTTCCCGGAGCATGACGATGCATACGAGCAGGGGGGCTATTCGATATACTCGTAGCATAGCATGCGGGTGGTATATTGCGTATACATATGCGGGTATTGCAGTGACGAACTACGGAGGAACAAGAAGTTTCTTTATGTTTTCCTTGGGAGTGTGGTAGATTGGTGGACATTCATGGAGATTCGTTTTGGGTGTTTGAGCGTTATGCGTGACTTGATGCCGTGATGGAATGACGAGCTCAAGCACGCCCCCGATTAATACAACACGTTTACAACACGTTTTCCAACACGTCTGCACGACTTTACCTACCCCTACGGCCCGTCATGGCCGAGCTGCTCTACACTCCCATCACACACAACTGAGCCACCCGAATTATCGATCAGACTAACACCTCCCTTCACCGCAACAGATTCATGAAGCATGTTCTGATCTTGTCCGCCGGAGATTACTTCAAACTTCGGACCGCCCTGCAGATCTTTCCGGGTTGCATCCTGTTGGACTTCAACCAATAGGAGGGAAGCAGCGATTTCGTGCGCGAAACCTCGAAATCACCAGCATCATCAGTTGTCGGTTGACAACGCAAGTTGCCCCCCCCTTGACAGAGAATGGGTCACCGCATTCGCTAGCCGCTTCTCGAGCGTCTGTCGCCCCCTTTCTTTCTCGCTTCACGTGCTCGCCCCCTTGCGTGCGCGGAGATGACATACTCTACTGTGCCGCGGCCTAGAATCACATTAACACCTGAGAACCGTCCCACCGTCCCACAACACACCACTGGGTACAATCAAGAATCAATGGACACTTCAAGTAAGATGCCAGTGAACTCCGGTGGGAGCAACCGCGATGGTCGGCAACGACTTCACTTGCGGCCAACCCTGTTTGGAATGCGGAGGAGCTGCTTAGAATATGGACGTAGAAGGAAGGGCTGCGATGGTCAACAGCCTTGTGGGTAAAACCTCCTACAGTAAGTCATGTCAGGTACGTTGTGGATGTATGAACGGCATCGATGGTGGTGGAATCAGACGTACGCACAACATATGCATATAGTCTATTCCGCGGGCAAATATGCACATGATGGCAAGCTGCGAATAGTCGTGCACACAGCTGGGGTCGCAACCAATCAAAACCAATTGCCAAATGTCGTGTCAGTGTGCAGCTGCAACGTTTTCCACGCCCCAACAAACCGCCCGCCCATCAGCTGATCATGTCAAGTCATTTTGTCTGGACTATGCATATAACGGCTGCAGCAGATTCACGTACTGCTGTAACAATGTATGCATATGAAACGCATGCCTATACGTTTTGTTTGCTCAACTTCTCATGAGGTACATAGTCTTTAGTCTAGAGCTACATGTACAGTCTAGTCTATACGTGAAGAACATGTTGAGTCTGAGCTGTTTTCCCCAGGTTCGCGCTGTGGAGAACGCACCTGGTCATATTTTCTCGTGAAATGGGGAGAACGGATGTATTGCAGGGTCTGTGAGGGCGAGGGCAGCTGACCCGTAGTCCTCGTACCAGGGGTTCGGCGCGTCCACTGACTCTTCCAAGGTCATGACACATGTCACTATCTGCAATCCCTTCATAGTGCAGCCGCTCCTGTGGCAGCAGCCACATACACACACAGGAATACGTCCACGGAAGCGAAAAGCCCGCCGCACAATATCATTGCGCGTCGAAGAAGATACAACGCGACAAGCGCGTCCGTCCGTTGAACGCTTTCGAGCCTCAACCCCTTCAGGGCTAGATCGCCGTTTGGGTACACTTTTTGTCCTCATTTTCTTCACCTGCTTTACCTCGTGAAGAATGGCATGATTGTCTCCTCCTTTGAACTACTCGACCAGGGGGGTGCCAGGGTACACGAGGACGACTCTAGTCTATTATGTATGCTTTGTAGAGTGGAGGAGTGTGAGGGTAATAAACAGGTCGAATCGCGGGGCGACTACGCCGCGTCTGTCTACCTTTCTTTGGGGGAAAGCGCTACTAGGGGCATGCGCGGAAGAAGTGCCCAGCACCCGTTGATAGGAGGCACCGGACAACCTAGGGCTTGGGTTAGAAGGTCGCGCATTCCCTCTAGAGAAATATCTTGATAACCTCCTTTTCTTGCCCCGTTTTATCCAGAGTTCTTGAGTAAACATAAACACTGAACGCCTGTAGAAACTTGTCTGCGTAAAGTGGTATTTTTCCCGCATCCGCCCACAGACCACTTGGATAGTTTCTAACTGGAGCCAGGGTATTGACCCAACATAATGCATACCATTCAAAAGCTACGGATCAGGGCTTTCGAATAAACCTACTTTTAGCTTTCACAGACACCTACCTTGGTGACGAGTTCCTCTGTCGAGTATACCGTTTCGCGAAACCGCGGTGGATCGATTTGCCGGGGTCTCTCCACCGACTGCTGTGTGCATTTTTATGTCTTTTTTTTTTTTGCCTTCCGACAATTTTGCAGATGTACCTCAGAAAACTTTCACTTAATGTCTCATACTCTACATGAATATCAAACCAATACGAAGTACAACAACATATGTAGGACTTATTTCTACTGTCATTTACATCGTAAAAATATCTCCGCTTCAACTTGAAATAAAACCAATGACAATCCTGATGGTATCCTATATGCGTTCGTAAGCTTGCTAAAATACTACTGCGTTGATGTCCTCTTGTAAAAGCTGAAATCCAACAAATGCTTTGATCCATGCTACATCTCCGTGTTGGAAAAGCCCTTTGTTCATGATAACATCTTACCCTATTCTACGCAAATCTGTCACATCTACTCTCAAACAAGTATGTTTCTTGTCATTTTCGGTCTGGTCCCCTTTCGTCCTCGCTATCTTCCATTTTGTTTCTCTTTCCTTTTACTGCTTCCTTTTTTTTCTCTCTTTTTCTCTGTTTTCTCCTGTTATTAGGCTGACTCTTATGGCAAACGAAAGTTTCCCACGGAACGGATTTTTTTTTTAATATCCGTGGCATGTACATCTTATGGGCACGGATGCGGCGGGTTTAGGGTCGAAAAAATCCGTTTGGAACATCGGGGCCGAGAGTCCAACGAGAGTTGGGCGTATATTTCGTTTGGGAATCGGGCCCGGATGTTGCCCACGGATTATTCAACACACCGAAATCGCAGGGTCACACCGCATCCATCCCCGAGTGGCACCCGAGCGTGTGTGTGCACGACCTTGCCAGCACCCAGCACAGACAGACCGGACCGGGTGCGCGATGGAGCACACGAGTGCGGCCGACGACAGCGGCAGCGACGACGAACGACATGCCCACCTTCTTGTTCTTCTTGCAGCAGCAAAGCGGAGACGTCGCGAACGGCAACGCGCTGTGCTTACCGTGTCGGCCTGGCGAGTTGTCCTGCGGTCCTTCCCAGATGACGACGAGTTGGAGGACGAAGGCCTTGGCGGTGGCCCCCCCGTGAAGCGTGCCCGCCGAGTTCTTCCACGGCCAGACTACCGTGCCTCGTTTTGGTGGCGCATGCTGGGCGAGACGGGCCTCAAGGAACCAGCGTCAAGAGAGGGCAAGCTTTTTCGGAGGCGCTTCCGCATCCCATACCAGTTCTTCACCGAGCTCGTGGAGCTGGTCAAGGAGAAGAAGTGGTTCCCAATGCGCAAGCAAGATGTGGCCGGGCGCATGTGCATCCCAGTCGAGCTGAAGGTGATATGCAATGCACTCACGTCTAGATTATATCTAAGCATGTTTGCAAAAATGTACCCATCTAGACTATTGTATGCATGTTGGCAAAACATGCAT